TCAGTCCACTGAATCCAAGACTTGAATCACGAGTCAGCCATGTGGGATCCAGTACCTTAACCACCATGCCACTTGCTGGCCACATAAAACAGATGTTTCTTAAGCCTTCTTCCTGATAAGTGATGAGCTTTGTCTCTGAAAATTTAGGTATTTCTTTCATATTATAGAAATAACATCTAATAACTTTGCTGAGAAGATCAATTTCCCTCCTTCTGTTTTTCTCTCTCTCTCCCCCTCTCTCCTATTGTTTCTCTGTGTGTATTTTATCTACTTTGAAAACGTTTATTGAGTAGCTACTTAGTGCTGGGTGCTGATGTTGAATGGTTTGTGAGAAGGTCACAGTGGAGTGGAGGGAGGTGCTGGTGACAGTGCAAGAGAGCCTGGAGGAAGCACTAGGGACTGTGACAGCGGACCACTGATTTGTTGAGAGGGGTTGGGAAGCTTCAGGAGAGTAGATAAGTTTCGACAGAGCCTCAAGGGTCAGGGAAGTGACTGTGCAAATGCAGGCAGCCAGGCAAGGGCATTTAGACAGAGGAAGTGGCAAAGAGGCAGGAAAGAACATGGCAGCCATTGGAGGGCACAGTGAGACTATTACAGCTCGAGCGTAGGGTGTGTGGTAAGACACAAGGCTAGAAAGAGGATTGGAAGAGCCTGGCGTGTTGTATCTGGAGCTGGGACTTTTTCCTGATTGGAATCATTGAGTGTTTTGTTCTGGTTTTTGAAATAAAATTTGCATGATGTAAAATTCAACATTTCAGACATTTTAGAGTATACAGCTAAGTGGTTTTTAGTATATTTATAAAGTTGTACAACTAGCACCACTATCTAATTTGAGAACATTAGCAGTCACTCCCCCACTCCCCCTCACCAAAGCCTCTGGCAACCACTAATCTAATTTTCTGTCTCTATGGATTGGCCTATTCTGGACATTTCATGTAAGTGTCAGGAGTCATACAAGATATAGTCTTTTGTGTTTGGTTTAGCATACTGTTTCAGAGTTCATTCAGGTTGTAGCTTGTGTTGATACTTCATTCTTTTTTCTAGTAAGTTTATTTTTTTCTTCCATGAGAGCCGAGAAAGAGAGACCTCTCCCCCCCAACTTCATGCCCCAGCTCATGCACACACATGTCCATCATGTTTAGGGACATTTCCAGTTAGGAACCTGAAGCCTTTCCACATAGATCATCCTCACAGAACAGTGTGTTACAGCTGCACTGATTGAATGGTGATTCAGCCCCCAATTCTTCTTCTTTTTTTTTTTTTGTGGCTAAATAATATTCCAGTGTGTGTATAGACCACATCTTGTTAATTCATTTCTCCATTGATGGACATTGGGTTATTTCCTCTTTTGAATTATTGTGGATAATATTGCTATTCATGTACAAGTTTTTGCGTGCATATATGTTCTCAGTTCTCTTGGGTGTATACTTAGCGACGTACTGGCTGAGTCACGTGGTCATTCCATGTCTAACTTTTTGAAGAACTGTAAAACTGTTTACCAAGTGTCTGGAGATTTTTAAGACAGATCAAAACAGGTTCAGATTTTATTTTCACATCAAACACCAGCACAATATTTTCTTTTGTGGCTGAGCATTTCTACTTCTGTTGTCATGTATTCCTGATCCAGGGCATCAAAGCCCGTAACAGCGAGTCCTATCCCGTCTTCTTCCGTCTATGGATATAGTTGCTGTAAAGTACCCAATAGCATAGGATGGGACAGAAAGAAGGCATGTCAGGGGACTCTCTCCCTTGATGTATGATAGAAAATGAGTTTTTTCTTTTTAAAAATAGAACCTCTGACTAAATTATAGACTATTATTAGGGAATTTATTATACTTATAAACTGTACTTGGACTCCCTATAATTTGTTATAATTAATGCAAGAGTTCAAGAGCAGAAGGCAAGGATCAGGTTGTGGCACGCCTTTGTTTTGTAACACCTTGCTATCACTGCCCTTTTTTTCACTAGTAGTTAAGGCTTGCATGTGTTTGTGTGCATTTAAACAAACATTATCCTTTTTAGGAAAGAATTGCAATGCTTTGACTCACTGAAACTCAAGGAGTCTCAGAAGTTAGATGTTTTTGACAAAATAGGGTGTTTATTGATCAGTCAATGCTGAAAACTTTTGGACTTGAACTTTTGCTAAGAAAATCTTGTTTACATGATTTTCAGTATATGCATGCATTTTCATTTTTTTTCATGCATTATGTTTATTAGCTTATGGTGTGAAAAGGCGAGAAGAAAAACTTGCCCTTTTAAGGTGATCTTTGTCAGACTTATGTTTAAGCCTTTTTTTTTTTTTTCATTATTATTTTGCAGTTGCCTAAGTGTTAGCTTTGTGGTCTGTTAGTGTAAAGTATTAAGTGACCGTCAAGTTGAAAATTTATTAAATATAACATTTAGATAGTGTATAGGTCAGGTATCACACACATTATTATACTTAAATGTAAATAAACTTCATAAACTGAAATTCTCAAGAGTTTTGAGGATAGGTACAGAGAGGGAGAGGCATTTGGCTTTATCTGGTTGCATGCCTGTGTCCACACTGTTTATCTGGTCCTGGCAGTTGGAGAACAGTGTGGACCACACTCTCCATTATCTGGGTTTACGGCTGTGAACAACCTTTGGAATGGCTGGAATGTGCTCTTTCTCTTTTGTGGGTATCTCTGTCAATTTAAGATTTAAAAATAATCTTTTTTCTTGCGCACCCCAGAACTCTAGGACAGCTTGTCCTCAGTTCCTTATTTTCTCTTTTTATAGGAGAGAAAGGTTTACGTTTGTTTCTTTTGTGCAAAATGTAACATCAATCCCAAAGCAATGCTGTCTGTTCCATTAGTACAGACTGCACCAGCCCAAGAGAACTGGGTTCCAGGACATTCCAGCAAGATTCCTCTGATATGTGGTTGTAAAGGGCGTGTTCTAGCAAGGAAAGGGCATTTCAAGTCTTACCCTTCTCTTATCTCTAATAATGACAAAACAATCTTTCTGGTTCTCCCACCCCTGTAGTTTTATTGAAAGACTTCAAAGACTGAGAAGTGTAAGGATGGCCAGTCTCTCCATATTACCACATCCCTTCTGGCCTTGCAGATGGGAGAGAGAGAGGATGGTTTGACTAAACTAAGAAAAGCAGGGCACACAGGAGCCATGAAGTGATGGTAATAATAGTGTAGGTTGGTAGTTATAGCTTACAGAGTGCCTTCACTAACCTATTTTTTTAAGATTGATTTTTGCTATAGGGCATGTACACTCACCAGAGAAAGACAGGCAGAGAGAAATCAACCCGAGGAAGATGATTTCTCCTCCACAATCTCTTCTCCTCCATTCTCCTCTTGGGATTTTGGACATACATGCACACACGCCCGGTGTGGGTTTTAAGCTGCTGGGTTTAGGCCACAGTCAACTCGAGCCACAGTCAACTACATGAGAGTCCAGCAACATAATCAGTATGCCAACTGCTGGTTTCCTAACCTATTTTTAACTGTGAAAAAGCTTTTTCTTTCTTTCTGTCCCAGTCCTCTTTGGGCAGTGGGGGCAGAAACAGTAACATATGGGTGATATGTGTTGTTCATACCACCTCATCAGGTGTTACTAGTGTAGCAACAGAATTAAGTCTGGATCACTTTTTTATGATACATAATATAGAAACTGCTCAATGCAAGAGTCAGTAAAGAGATGGGGGGACAGTGATGATGAACTGCACTTTACTTTTTAAAGAGAAACCTGCATTTAGAAATACATATGTTGGGACCAGCAGATGGCATAGCGGTTACATTGCTGGACTCCCACATAGCTGATCATAGTTTGAATCCCAGACTTGGGGGCTTGATACTCACACCTGGTGTGTGTGTGCGCATGTGCATGTGTGCCCAAAATCCTGAGATGAAAACGTAGGTGAAAGGATTGCAGCGTGGCCATCCCCTGCGGGAAGGGGGCGGTGATTTCTGGTGATTTCTCACTTTCTGTCTCTCTGTCAAGTGCACATGCCCTATAGGAAAAATTTCTAAAAAAACACATACATACATTTAAGGGCCCAATTTAAGGCTAAGCATAGCCCCTTCCAGATAGGAGCCTACAATCAAAGTTTGAATTATAGATTTTATTTTTCTTTATGTATGTATTTTTTTTTTAGGTTTTTGCCATAGGGTGTGTGCACTTGCTGGAGGGAGACAGAGGAAAAGTGAGAAGTTACTCCCCAGGAGATGGCCATGCTGCAATCCCTTCTCCATTCTCTTCTTGGGATTTTGAGCATACATGCACATGTACCAGCATGAGATTCAAGCTTGGGACTTGAACCATAATTGGCCATGTCAGAATCCAGTGCCTTAACTACCATTTTT